CTTCCTGCCTCCTGAGGTTTTGCACACATCCTCTCTTCCACTTCATTTAAGGGATAGTCAGTCTGTCTGCATGCTCCTCTCTGAATTTGAGTCCAGGTACTTCCTTGAGCTCTTGGTCCATTTCTTCTCATTCTCCACAAGTATCTACTGTGGATCTTCCATTGTGCTGGGAGCTGGGTTTACCTGGTGTTGATGCCAGTTCAGTTTCTGCCCTGACAGCTTAATGTTTATCAGGGAAAAAAGGTGTTAAAGACGTATCCTCCATTCCATGTGAAGAGACTTGTGCCACAGGAGGAAGTGGCAGGGGGACCCTCACCTGGTCTAGAGAAGGTCTCCTGAGAAAGAGAGGCTTCATCTGACACCTAGAGATGATGGAGTGATCTAGCCAGAGATGGAGGGCATCATGGACTTAATGCTTGTGTCCTCCCAAAGTTCATATGTTGAAATCCTAACCCCCAAAAGTGAAGATATTAAGAGGTGAGGCTTTGGGGATGTGATTAGCTCATGAGCATGGGACCCTCATGAATGAGATTAGTGCCCTCATAAAAGAGACCCTGCAGGGCTCCTTAGCCCCTTTTGCCATGTGAGGATACAAGAATTCTGTGGCCCAGAAGGGGGCCCTCACTGGACCATACTGGCACCCTGATTCAGACTTCCAGCCTCAAAACTGAGAGCAGTAGGTTTCTGTAGTTGACAGGCCATGCAGTGGTATTTTGTTACCGCCTGAACAGACTAAGGCAGAGGAGGAAGGGCTTCCCAGCCATAGCAAGGAGCACGTGGGAAAGCAGGTCCAGAGAGCAATGGCAGGAGGTAGAATGTGCTGAGTGTTGAGTATTGAGTGCAAGAGAGAGACGGGTGAGCCATGGACCTGGTGAAGCAGGCTGGACAGATCACCTGCAGCCCTTAAAGTTACATTAAATTATTTGGAGGCCTGGTCTCCCTTGAGAAAACTATTTTAGTGTGTCTTCTGAGAATCTGCCAGCCTGTCCAAGTAGACTCTGCTGAGCCAGGATGCCCACTGGATGTACACCTGGATCAAGGATCATGGAGGTCATAGATCTGTGAGGTAATCACACCTCTGCCTCCAGCTCAGCTGACACAGTTCACCTCTGCAGAGTAAGGGACCTTGGGAAAGTCTTGTCCCCTCTCTGGCCTTCAGTTTCCTCAACTCTAGCAACATTGGACCAGTTTAACTCCAAGATCCCTTCCAGCCCAAGGATAAGAATAGTGTTGTGCCTGGCACAGAGTCAGTGTTCCATAAACCCTTGCTGAATGAATGGGCTCCTTGCTGGGGTGCCCAGCATTCTACCCAGGCTGAAGGCATCCACGATAGTGAGATGGGGATGGTGACTACCTTTGTCTGTTAGGGAACCACTGAAGTACTTTCCTATGGGGGAGCCTCTGGGAGAAGCTGACTGCAAGCTGGCTTCCAGACTTGGTTGAATAGAAAGCAGCTAGAGGCTGTGGTCAGAATCTAACTACAGTACACCTTTGGCATTCTCTTATTTACCATGCATGGTTCTTTAATTTACAACCCTGCCATGCAGAAACAGGCATTTTGCTGAACAAACATGAATTGTGCACTCAGCAAGACTCATGTGTGGGAGAGTGAGGAGCCCAGCTGACCCCCCAGGGTTCTCATTTAGAACATCTGCACAAAACCATGGGGCGCCGGTCTGGTTACCTTCAATGTTTGGAGTAGAAAACTGAGCAAATGTTTCCTTTGATTCAGCAGGTATTTCCTGGGGGCCTATTATGTGTCAGGCATGAAGTTAGGTGCTGGGAGATGCAGGACAGACATGCAGATATAGTCCATGGCCTCTTGGACATCGGACCCCGATGAGCCTAGTCTGGTGAGGAGGTGGGAGCACACCCAAGCCAACCAAAGAACTACCTGTTCAGTGACAGATGGGATGCTGTAAAAGGGGGCAGGTGCCCAATGCTCAGAGGCCTGGAAAGACATCTGGACATGGTGGAGAAGGAAGACGAGGCAGAGGAATGTCTGTAGCTCATACTGAGGTACTGAAAGTACTCAGAGCTGGGGGAGAACAGGTGAGATAAGGTGCCGGCAGGCCCTGTGAAGCTCGCCAAGGACTCTGTGTCTTATCCTAAGACCCTCTGGAAGTCTTAAAGGATCTCAGACAGAGGCAGGGAGTGACTTGAGCAGATTAGATTTTGGGAAGAAGACTCAGGCTGAGTTGGGAATGAACTGGAGGGGTTGAAGGAGGGTATGTGGAAATCAGTTAGTAGATAATGCAAGAGCCCAAGAGAAAGATGATGGCATCTGGTTCCTGATTTGATGGAAGCATAGAAAAATCTGGACTGTTAGAAAGGTCTCTGAACCAAAGGTCTGCATCCACTGCCAGATGGTTTATTGGAATCATCTGTGGAGCTTTTAAAACATCCAGAAGCCCAGACAGGACTGGACCCCCTGCACCCCTTGAAACAGAGACTATGTTACATTGATTGATATAACTTCTTTGGAGGACAATTTGGAAATGTTTGTCAGCTTTAAATGTCCATACCCTTTAACTAGGCATTTCCACTTCCCTGTATTTATATTTCAGGTATGCCTTTACTTTGTATGCAAAACTCCATACACAAGAATATCCATTGTAACAATTTTTGTAATACCAAAAGACTGAAAACTACCTAAATGCCCCCAGTAAGAGACTGGTTAAGTGGATTACAGGGCAGCCTTTAAAAATAATGATGTACAGTGTCAAAGGTGAGAGAGAGAGGTGTACTTTTAACTGTAAATCTTTGTGTCCAATAAGAGTTTTTCAATTTTTAGAACCGGTTAGAGGGTTACAAGGCTACAAAAGACATTTGTTAGGAAGTTTAGCTCCCACTCTTGCCTTGCCATCCTGTGCCCTACCCCCACCTCCATCAGTATCTGGTGGTGGCCAGCCTCCAAATGGCCACTGGTGATCCCCATCTCCTGGCGTTCCCACAGCTGTTGGGAACAGCTTCCTTCACTGTTGGTCTGTGTGACCAACAGCATATGGAAACTACGGTCTGCTGCTTCTCAAATATGTGTCTTGCATGCTATCTTTCACATCTTTGGGGGGCAGCTGTGTGTGCAGCCCTGTGGACAGGCTCCCATGAGGAGGAACTGAAGCCTCTGTCCATCAGCTAGTGAGGAACCAAAGCCTGCCAATGAATGTATGAGTGAACTCGGAAGCAGATCTTCCAGCTCCAACCGAGACCTTGAGATCGCTGCAGCCCCAGCTCACAGCTTGATTGCAGGCTCATGAGAGACCCTGAGCCAGACCCACCCAGCTAAGCCACTCTCGGATTCCAGACCCTCAGAAATTGTGTGAGATCATAAAGTTGCTTAAACTTTTAGGTTTTGAGGTAACTTGTTGCATAGCAATGGATAGCTAATGTACCATTTTTATTAGTTTATTATTTATCCTGCATGTTTCTTTATCTGAATAAAAAGCAAATATGGATATTTTTATTTCCTCCCTTTTGTTACACACATAAAATATGGTGTACTATGTACCCTACTCTTTGCCTTTTTTCCCCTCACTCAATGGTATTTATGGGTGATTTCTTCATACTGTTACGCAGAGAATGTCATCATTCTTTTTATAGCTGCTTAATGTCAGCTAGTCCCCTGCTGCTGAGCACTTGAGTTGTTTCCCATTTTTCATTATTACAAACAATGCTGCCATAAATAACTCAAAAGTGTATCCTTTCATATGGTCCAGGGGTATGTAGAAGAGAATTCCAGAAGTGAAGTTGGCTGAGTCAAAGGTCCATTTTGTAACTCTGGTAGATTTTGCCAGATATCCCTCCCTAGGGGATGGATGCCTTTTAGTATGTTTGAATTTTGAATCATGTGCCTGTTTTACCTTTAAAAAAATCTCTTCAGGTGATGCTCATGTTCATCCAAGGTAGAGGTATCACCACTACTCTACTCTCTCTTAATCAGATGCTCTGAGAGGGGTGAGGAAGGGCAAGGTGTAAAAACTCAAACTCTCCACACACTTGGAAAGTGTGCAGACAGCAAAATTTCCAAATAGCTACTAATATGAAAGGCCAGGAGAACTCAGAATCTAGGCTGGGAGCTCTGGGATGGTTTGCAGCCAAGGTGAAGACACCCTCTGTGGGCACTGGCTTCAGGCTCAGCAGGCTCCTGATAAAGGTAGGCAGCACCCATCTACCAGGTGCAGCTCAGACCACCATGGCCCAGGGAAGACTGGAGGCCAGTGGCCCTTCAGGGTCTGTGCAGGAAGACTCAGCCACTCTCCTGAAGGAAGCCTGAGATGGAGCTGAGAGGACAGGACAGAATATGGGGGACACTCCGGAAAAAGGGGTGTGCTCAGGTGGTGTGTCTGGATTCTGACTTGACAAGGCTGGCCTGAAAGAGTTATAACTACTTAATTATGCTGGAAAATGGAGTATTCTTAATATAAATTCATGTTAGGGGAGAAACAATGCTCCCCTCCACAGCCAGCCAGCTGTCTGTATTATGGATCACTCAGTTGTATCTCCACTCAACACTAGGTGAGGTGCTGCCCCAAGCCCAAGCCATCGGGAAATGTTCTGCATTCATAATGAGTCTTGATTGTGCCCAGAGAAGTAAGTCACGTTCAGAACAGAAGAGAGGGTCCAACTCTCCTTTGACTCTCTTCCACAGTTATAATTTCAGTGAACATAACACTTGGCTAGTCTTCAGAAATTTTGACAGTGCTTCTGCCCAAAGGAAAACAGGCAAAATTCCCTTCATGTTTGAAAGCTTACTTTAGAATGTAGCAATGCAGTGTAGTTGGGGAAAACGTGGAATTTGTTATTAGATTACACTTTTAGTCTGGTGCTATCACTTATTAGTAATTGGTCCTGGAGAGCCATTAACCATCCCAAACCTTAGTTTCCCTAGCTGGTAAATGGGAACAACAGCTGCCTTAACTAACCCACACGATGGTGCTCAGGACTCCCCTTCAAAAATATAAACTGCAAAAAATCCCCTACAAAAAAGTGTATGGTCTGTGCCTGATTATAAAAGTGATTGCGCACTTTGGAGCCTTTATTTAATTCTTCAGTGCATCTCCATTGTAGAAATTCCACTTGATCTGAAACGATTGAGTTGACTGCAAATTGCATATCATTCTCTTAAAAAGTTAAAAAGTCACTTCCCACCTGTCCTCAGTATAAAGCACTTAAAATATCAGCCTGGTTTTCACAGATTCACAAACCAGTTCCCAAGGAAGCCACTCCAGCCCTGTGGATGGCAGTGCCATTCTTCAGTTGCTCAGGCCTCAGAGTCATCTGTGGCTCTTCTGTCGTATCTGTATAGAAGATGGTCTCTTCATACCCAGCCATCAAAGCTTGTAGGCTCTGCCTTCAAAATACAGCCAGTCTGACCACCTGTCACCAGCCTGGTGTGGGGCACCAGGATGATCGCAGTAGGTTTCTTCTGGTTCTCCATGCTCAGTCCTTCCCATGCCCCATTCTGCGCACAGCCATCCTTTTAAAACAAAATCAGTTCATGTCACTCCACTGCTCAAAACTCTCCAGTGGCCCCTTCTCTCTCAGATCTGATTGCTGCCTGTGAGTCCCATGTGGCCTGCCCCTGGTGGCCTCAGTGGCCTCATCCCCTGCCATGCTTGGTTTGCCTGGGTCACACTAGTTTCCTCGCTTTCCCTGAAACCTGCCAAGCATGCTCCTACCTCTGCTGTTTTCAAATACTGTTCTTTCTCCGGAGTGCTGTTCTTTCCACCACTGTGCACTCAAACGTCTCTTTCTTCAGGCCTCTGCTCAACATCGCCTTGCCCGACCACGGCATGTAAAACAGCAAGCCCTCCCCACGCACCAGCCCGGTGGGAACTCTCTCTCTGCCTCATCCTGCTTTCCTCCAGAGCACTTGTCCCCATCTGACAAATACATTTGTCTAGTTTTTGTCTTCCCTGCACCTTCCCTCACACCCCTGCTGCCAAATACAAGCTTCACAAAAGCAGAAACTTTGTTTTATTATTATATCCCCAGAACCTAGAAGAGTGCCTGACTCATAAAATATTCGATGACAGAATGAACAAATAAAGAATGGATTAGCTAAGTGTGATAAATACATACATACATAAGTAGATAAGGTGATATTACAGGTATATGATAACCAATGAAGTTGAACTTATTTTCTAATATTTATTGATCACATAGCTCTCCTTTTGTAAACTGACTTTTCATGTGTTTTGCTCATGATTCCTGTGGAAATGATGATATCATTTTGTTTTATGTATTCTTAATATATTTAGAATTTTTGCTCAATGTTTTGAAATTGCACGGTGGGATAAAGTACTGTTTTAAGGTATCTAAAATGTATTTTAAGACTGAATAAGTTACAAATGTATGAAACATTTCCTTTTTCTGTCTCCCTAATTCCAATTGGATTCTTAGAATTGGACTTTTGTGCTTCGGGGGACCATGGCTGTGAACATTCCTGTATAAGCAGGGAAGACTCTTTTGTGTGCCGATGCTTTGAAGGGTTTATACTCCAGGAAGACGGGAAAACCTGCAGATGTAAGTTATTATTGGAATTGGCTCACATTAATGTCTGACCTGTACATGAAATCCACTATCCTCATCTCTGTGTAAATCAGTTACTCTCAAAAGCTAATGCCACAAGACCAGCTGAATGTAATATGTGATCCTGGATGAGAAAAATGACATAAGGTAAAAAAACAAAGGAAATATAAATAAACTATGGACTTTCATCGATATTAATGTATCAGTATTGGTCCATTAATTGTAACAAATGTATCACATAAATGTAAGATGTTAATAATATAAATCAAGTATGGCATGTATGGGAACTCTCTATAATATAGTGTCAACTTTTCTCTAAATCTAAAGTATCCTAAAAAATAAAGCCTATTAAAAGGAAAACAAACAAATGGACAATTGAAAAAGTCAATGCCAGAGCTAAAACTGAAGTTGCTCATTTACTATGGCAAGAAACAGTGGTTTAGCAATGAGATCTAGTGGAAAGATGTACAGTCTGAAATCCAAGATTCTATTAGCGTCTAGCCGTGTCATTCATGAGCTGGGTAAGTTGCTTAACTTCTCTGAGCTTCTGTTTCTTCATTTTTAAAAATATTGTTGTTTCTGATAGCATAAATCCCTCACAGAGACCACCTTCTGTTCTGATGAGGCCATTCTTACATCTCAGAAAGCAACACCCTTTAGAAGGGGCCAAGACATGTCTCTCTATAATCAGACAGGAGTGTGTAACCCTGAACAAATGATTTCCATCCCTATCAGTCATCTTTTTCTCAACCTTCTCAAAACACTTTACAAAGAGCATCTTGTGTTAACACATTTGAAGAAAAGATAGGTAACTGGAATTATTATTGTCATTTTTCAGGTGAAATGTAAGGCTCCAAGAGTTTACCTGATATTTCCAAAGTCATATGTCAAAGCCAAAGAAGCCAAAATTAGATTTAAATGCTGTTAATCTAAATTGAGGTTTAATCTCCTAAGTAATCATACCAACAGTGTTCCTTCTGATAGCAGAAACTACGTCTGCAAAAAGCTGATATGATGGATGGCGTTTATATGCATTGCTGAAGCAGGTGCTGGTGATGAAAATGAGAACGTTTGAAGAGTTAGCGCGAATTAGAGCCGATGAACTTTGTCCTCAATTTTCCCTTCCTCCCCATGGATCACTGAGCTCAAGTGGCCCTGAGTCCAGTGGCTGAGATGGATGGATCCTGAGGGGTGAAGCCCGAGGAAAATTTATGTTGGTGAAATTGATTTAACTTGCTCTGCTATCCTCAGGGAAAGATGTCTGCCAAGCAGTAGACCATGGCTGTGAGCACATTTGTGTGAACAGTGATGACTCGTACATCTGCAAGTGCTGGGAGGGATTCCAGCTCGGCGAGGATGGGAAACGCTGCAGAAGTAAGTAGCCTCCAGGTAGAGACGAGCTTTTCCATCTGTGGGACTTGGATAGTTCTATAACTTCATTTAATCTTTAAAATCTTCCTTTACAATCAATGTCACAATTACAACTTCCTGCGTTGGGTGCTCTGAAAGGGTTTTGCTGCTGATCAGTACAGTAGACCCTTAGTTTTACAGGAATTTCTCAGTCGACGCCTGAGTGTCAGGCTCCTTGCTTCTTTTCATTTTCTCCCAGCTTGGCCCTTTCCACAATAGTGTGGTTGCCCAGAGCCTATCTCAGTCCCTGGCTAGTCACTGGATGGAATTAGAATTCCTGCCAGAAATCACTATGAGGATTCAAGGATAATTACAGCACTTTTTCTTCATGGAAGACTTTATATGTAAGGGTAGAGGGTGGGAAAGAGGCTGAAGAGATTTTCTGTGGGTTTCATTTATTCATTCTATCATTTGCTTCTGTAGGTCACTCAGAACAGATTCTGGGAGTTTACTTAGAAAGTGTACTAGAGTTTTCCAGAGAAGGAGACTCAATAGGGTGTGTGTGTGTGTTGTAGCACAGCAAGCAGGCTAGAAGAGCTGATGTTGCAGCTCTCGTCCAAAGGCAGTCTGGAAGCAGAATTTCCTCTTCCTTGGGAGGATTCATTCTTTTCTCTTAAAGCCTTCAAGTAACTAGATGAGGCCAACCCACATTATGAAGGATGATCTGCTTCACTCAAACTCTACTGACTTAAATGTCAATCTCATCTAAAAAATAACTTCACAGCAAAATCTAGGCTGATGTTTTAACAAACAACTGGGCACCATAGCCTAGCCAAGGTGACAAATAAAATTAACCACCACAGCACCCAAAAGAAGAGGGAGATGGGGCACATGAGCTAGTGAGGTGGGCATTAGAAGACCACAAAGCAGGGATTTTTTTCCTCCAGATTCTGAGCTGTTAATCCCTCTTTTGGGGAGTTTTAACAGTGTCTACTTGCTTTTGTGACACACCGTTCCAGTGGTCAGAATGGCCCTTTTTAGTTAAGGCAAAATTAATTCAGATGCTTTTGAAGTTGATGTTTACGCACTTCCTCACAGATTCCTTTGAGATAGCTGGGAGTACTCCCCATGTCAACAAAGCTGGGTTGGATGGGACTTAGTGGCCTCATTCTTTCACCAGCAAGAGGGGCTCCTGCGTTTGGCGAGAAGTTCTGTTTGAACAAGCGCCTCCTGGGACCGGGTCCTGACTCTGCAAGGCTCGTGGACAATCCTACGTTTTGCCTTCACACTGTGGTGTCTCTTCTGTGGGGGCCATGTCTACAGTTCTGCCCATCATGTCTGCCTGAGCCATTTGTTCCTGCTTTTATTTCTATAAACCTGCACATACACACATGCACCACTTATTCATTCAACATATTTTTTGCTCGGTAAATTGCTTCTACTTCTAGAGGGATCTGTAGTCACTTGACACCAATTTTGTAGGAAGCTTCCCTTGTTAGGGAGCCAGTGAGAGAAAAGAACAGTGGGCTTCATGCTGTGGGGGAGGAGCTGCGCTGGCAACTTGCTGCATGACCTTTGGCAACTGCATGAGGCTTTTTGAGTCTCTTCATTTATACGTTGCTTAAGTACCCCTGACTTCCTCTTCTCACAAAAAGTTGTGAAGATTAAAGGGCTGTAACTGCTCTGAAGAGTTTATGCACCTCGTGCAGGAGAAATGCTCATTAGATAGTTAAAATTGGAGCATTTGGGATGTCCGCGGGGAAAAATCAGTAGCTTCGGAAAACCAAAGCACATCAAGCAATTCCAAATCCAGGGCACACAGCCACCCATCTTATCAGAGAGGCTGTGGGAGCTAGAGATTTCTGGAGCTTTTCTCTCCCATGCTCTATCCTAAGTATTAGAATGAAAAATGGGATGTTAGAAAGGAGGTTTGAACAGAGATGGGTTTTTTAAAAAAGGCTGACTTTTGAGATCTTCCCTGACATGACTATTCAATCCAGCTCATTTCTACCCTGATGGGGTCCCTCAACTCCCTTCATTTCTCTTAGGGAAGGATGTCTGCAAGTCGACCCACCACGGCTGTGAACACATGTGTGTTAGTCGTGGCAGTTCTTACATCTGCAAATGCTCACAGGGATTTGTTCTAGCTGAGGATGGAAGACGGTGCAAGAGTAAGTGATCTGAACTTGGCTTTCTGCTTTAGTTTGGTTTGGGAGCGATTGCTTTTGGAGTGTTTTCAAGAAACAAAACCCTCACCTCTGCTTCTCCCATGAATATAAATGTGCATGCATAAATGCAGAATGAGGAAGAGAGAGCTTAACTGCAGCCCCTGTGAAAAAATTTTTGTTTTCGTTGATAGTGGATTTCACTATCAGCCAGAAGGCTAGAGTGAGCTAAGGCTGAATATGAGTATCTGGAATGAGGGAGGTAAGACTTGTACTCTACTCTGTGCTGGAGAATTACACTCAGTCCTGGGCATTGCACTTTAGGAAGAGAGAGAGGGATCAAAGGTTTAACATAAAAAAAATTTTTAAACTCCAAACTTAAACAGAAAAAATCTTCAGAGACTTATTTTATAATCGCACAGTAGAGAAG